TTTATTTTGCAGGGTAATTGAAAAGCTGATTGGCCATGGTCTGCAAGTTTATCATGCTGCTGAAAATTGAAATTAAAGACAATTTACAGGGTTATTTAGGTTATTTAGAGACACAAAACACTTGAGATGACTATTGGCATAGATTTGCAGTTAGAGTGAGACAATTTCAGCTATCAAGGAGTAAACATATCAACTAGCACAAGAAATGGATCAGGATAACTTGATCAATAGCAAGAAGTGAGTGGTAAGAAAGTAAGTATATCAGATAACAAGAAATATGTCTGTAATTCTACACCCTTGCCTTTTCAGTCGGCTTCCTGATACGTCCACCCCGCGATCGGGACCCATCTAAGTCCTCAGGCACATCTGTCTCATTAGTAACCTTGTGAGTAACAGATGGTAATGTATCAGCCATTGCTGTGAATGCCCAAGCGATATCCTTGGTCATGTCTGTGTAGAACTCTTTACAGAGGCTCGGATCCACAGTAAGTGCCAACTTCCATATCCACATCATTATTACAATGAGATAGATGCCGTTTTTACCAGTCTTACGTAGTTGACTCCAATCTTCCCCTGAAACAACTGTCTGAGAAAGTGGCCAGTCTACCCCTGAAATCCGACGTGACAGAGGCTGTAAACTTGCCCACCAATGGGAAGCCTGTTGCTGAAATATCCCAATGTCACTGACAGAGGGAACAGAATTGATGTCTAACGTCCATGACCACATACTCATGTCAGTGGGGCGGCCTCTTGAGAGTCGTTTGTTCGAATACTGTAGAGATTAATGCATTAATAAGATTGTACAGTTATGAGAAAACTAACTTCAAAAACAATACCGCAGTATTAATACACTGGATCTCTAACTTTGCCCACATTGATACTAATGACATCTCGTCAGCACTCGTGAAAGCCTTGAGAATGCCTTGTATGTGCTCTTTCATCCATTTAGGGAGGACTGATATCTCCTCAGGAAGCAGCAGATCATCCACCTCCATTGGTACAGGCTGCTCAGAGACAGGTAGCAGGGAGGATAGAGTAGGCAAGGGTAATGGAGAGTGTACCTCAGCATTAAGTGATCCTTGAGGTACAGTAGTAGGAAAATCGAGCGAATGCTGTACTGGCACCTGGACCTGTGTAAAATCATTTGGTGCTGCTTCGCTATAATCGTGAGGTAGTGGTGGTGCCCAAGAGCTAATAGGAGGTAACCCATCACCAATGTCATTCACAGCCATGTCTGCTGAAGTCATTCCAGTTACGAATGATGCAAATTGTTCAAGGGTGTCCTGACCAAGAGGATTTGTCTGGTCAGTATTAAACGCCTCACTATGTCACACTGTCAGTGCAAAACTTGTATTAACAAAGGGGAATACACTCACAACATTGATAAGTCCGGTTCTATACTTTGCTCCAGAGCGTCTGGAAGCGAAAGTGAACTGCTGAAGGATCGAAAGTCGTCTGAGAGCTCAAATGAACTCCCTGAGCGATGCTGAGAATTGACCAGTCCATCAAGCAAAGAAGAACTGTCTGTTCGAGTGGTTGGTGTGCCTAGCGGAGACACTTCGTGTGTTGGACGAGCTACCGACCCTGATGCTAGTGGAGACACTTCAAATGTTGAAAGAGCTACTGACCCTGATCCGTTGATAGAATCAAAGTCAACAATGTCCATTTGAACTTCTTCAGCTTCGATATTAGATCCGCATGGCTCTGTATCAGCATTTGGGTAAGTACATGGCTTCAGGGAGCATGCACGGATTTCTGCGTCAGCTAAATAATGTTAGTTTGTCATTCAAAAAATAGTTCTGAATTATTACTCACTGAAGCATCGTTCTGCAAATTGCTTAAATGGTTTGCGCACATTCGTTTCGAAGTCACCAAAATTGTTGTAAAATTCTGGAAATGCTTGGTTGCTTCCAACAGTCCTTCCGTTTGTAATACTTGAAATCGAGTAGTAAGTATTTGTACCATTCATGACAATATAAGTTGACTAACGTGCATGTAAGTAGTTGCCCATCGCGTGCAGGCTCTGGACCAGCAGCAATCATATAGACAACCATTCCGCTCTCCTCAGTAATAGTGGTGCAGAGCTCCTTCATTGTGAGTTGGATGTTTGACATCAAGCTATAGGTTCAGTATTAGCATATATTGAGTATAGACGATCAGAACTCACTGCTGCCTGTTACGAGCAGCACTAAGACGCTCGCGCTCTTCCGGCAGCAAGTGCTCTTCTCCTGGCAAAGGCATCTCCTTGGGAGCACTCTCGTCCGACACATCTTTGAGATACTTTCGTACTTCTTCCTTCACCTTGTCAGACTCCTCGTCATATAGCTGTGAAACAATCCTATTGCGATGTTTCAGACGATCTCGGTCGGTCAGGGAGCTATTGTTCTCCTTCTCAATGCTCCAGAGTGCGTCGACCTTCTCGCGCAGCTTCAAATCGTAAAACAGCCGCGAATATACTTGCAACTCGGTGGGGCGGTAGGATCTCTTGGTTCCGTTTCCAGAGACAAGCTGCTGTACTGCTTTACGGACGACGGCTTTGTGCTGAGTTAACTTCTTGCTGCGTGCACCGCTATGATTCTGAAAATACGTTTGTATTTGCTTCAAGGCATCAGATCCTATTCCACACAACAACTTGCACGTAACTCACTTTTATGCGTGCCTCTCTTGCTATGTCGCTGGTGCATGGGAATTCTGTAAGATAAACTGGAACTACCGTAGTCCTGATGTAGACTGCTGGTCCATTCGTGCGCTTAGATCCTTTTGACACGTCTCTCGCTCTCTCAAATCCATCAATGAGTGGATCCAAGAGTGCTTTCTCAGCACTACTGAATACTGATTGTGCCGGCATTGAGTCTCGCAACAAGAAAGAGATTGATATGCAAAGAAGAAGCAAGAGTTTGCAGGGCAGGGAGAATTGTCAAGCAAAGTATAGACACTCTGAAATGTACAAATCTCAATGGTTCAAAGCACAATTTATAGGATAATGCTTCAGATACTTGGAGCTTATCGTCGACTACTACTTACTCTCGTATACTTCCCCTCAAAGATCCTCAGAAGAGTATTCTCAGCGTATTTCAGTTCCTAAACAACCTAAAATAGCACATCTACCATTCTCATTGTCAGTGAATCCAGGCAAAATAATGTTATTGACAGATGGAACGAACAATGGAAAAGTACATAACTGTATCTATCTAATGTATTGTGAATCTATTTACTTGGCTCAAAATGACAGAGAACTATTGGAGTTTTCAATTACAGGCTATTTTCATGTCTCTAACTCCTTATCTTTTTCTGGCAGGCCAATCTGAAGTAATTTCGTTAGTATTTGTCCAACTCACTGTCGAGCATACAAGAATATGTTGTGTGGATCCCATATTTCGATTTCATACCTGAGTGACAGATTAGCTTGGAATAGCAACGACACACCGAGATGACCGATATACTCATTGATTGAGTATTATAGCGTGCATTGATTGATTTATGAGGTCTTACGCTTTGAGCACCGTTAGAAATGAGTGAATCAATGATTCTACACAAAAACAATGATTGAATAGCAAGATGCAGTGGAGCCTTCCTTCTCGATCATGACAGCGCCACTCCATACCTCCCTGCCAAACACTCCAATGATCGAATTCTCAGATATTCATTCATTGGTTCGTAGTAGTTTCAATGATTAAAGTCCACAGCTTTGAATGATTAACTGGTAGGAAATTCAATGATTCAACTTTGAATATGCAATGATTGAATTGTACATTCAATCATTGACGCACATGTATCTGTGATCTACAAGTCTACTTGTCCTAATGGTATAAAAGGCTCTGGAAATTTTCTTTAAACGACACTCAAAGGTCTTTCTTCCTCCTCGTCTTCTCCTCCTCCCTCCTCCCCTCGACATCCGCTGTATCCTAGCCTCTACTTCTCTCTATATCTTTCTCAGTCCTTTGCTTCTGTTACTGTCGTAGTATCTCTAGCTTTCTTAAAGATACTCGACCTGCAGACTGTGTATCTGTCTTAAATACACTATTAGTGAGTTCTTTCTTCCTCCTTCCCCCTCCTTAACATCCACTGCCTATCCTAGCCTCTACTCGTCTCAATATGTTGCTCAGTCTTTTACTTTCATTACTCTTACAGTCTCTTTAGCTTGCCTGACAATATCTGATCTGCAGCCTGTGTCTCTGTCTCAACAACACTATCGGTGAGTATATTCACTTACAATTTCCTTTTACTCTAGTATCTGTATAGTTTAATACAACTTCATATTAGAGTGAGTATCTTACTATTACACTGTTGAACTATTAAAAAGCTTTTTTCTAGTTTATTATGCCAGATACTTCTGATACAACAGGTCCCGATGCTTTTGCAGCTTATGTCTTAATCCTTGTTTGGGTTATCAAGTTCATTTCACAATGCTCGCCTGCATTTGCCGAAGCTATCAACCAATGTTCTACATCAGCTACTACAACTCCCTATGATAATTCTCCATTGCCACACGAAGACCTAGACTGTAAAGCCTCTCGAAGATGGTATACTGTTTTTGTAGGACGAGACATTGGTGTATTTTCCAGCTTGTAAGTATGTAGCCTTATATTACTCTCTAAGACTGACTTTATTTTATACTTAGTGCTGAAGTTCAAGCTTGTACATCAGGCGTTCCAGGTCATTGTTTTCGATGGTATTATACTTATAGTGCTGCAAAAGATGCATTCGACAAAGCAAAAGCATCTAATCAGGTAAAACTTGTAAACAAGTATGATCTGGTTAAAGAACATGATATAGACGAGTAATTACATTGTTTTCATTTATTTCTAAAGCTGACTACTATGTTAAATTCTTTTTTGCAGAGGTTCTAATAAGGAGAATATTGATCACTCTTTGTAAGTACACACTCTTTTAGGTATAAATTTACTCAAGTTTGGATAGTCATGGCAATAATGTACACAAGAAGCCATTCCCAGCTTTAGGTAAATGTACACTAGATTCAAATTCGTAAGTACTACTTTCTACTACTTATACTTGATACTAATTTCTAAATGACTTTACTAGGAGTGTTATTGAGATCTTTACAACAGAAAGCGAAAAGTAAGTGTTGAATAATTTAATTAATTAACGAAATTTATTAACTGTACAAATAAAACAGGTCAATTAGTGAGCCTGTGTGTAGGATCCAGCAACAGAATGATAAATTGTAGTCAAACGTAAGTATACTATTACTTTATCATATATAACATTTTTAACCTTGTCTATCTTGATTTAAAACTCTTAGTCTTAGTCTTAGCTTCATCTATCTTGAATTCACGTTTTCTATTTATCAATCCTTGATATACTGTTTTAACTTGTATGTGTATAGGTTTTCCCTCCAACTGAATATGAATTCTAATATGTCCTACTTTTAGCTTGCTAACAGATTTTAGTATTTAGTAGACACAATCTGTATAGAAGTATATATAGATCTGCACATTCTGTTTGTACTTCTGTAACACATGTCATGCTATTGTTTTAAATATGAAGTCTTAGTACTTTACAATTTTAATCTTCTGTGTAACTCATTCTTTTATTAACTTGAAAACTTTTTTTAGGATAGAAACAGATGTATAGTTAGAGATTGATCTTCTATAGCTATTGTGTGTATATGTTTTGTATACTATTGTATGTAAATCAGAGTAACTTGTTTCCTTATATATTCCTTATACTTTGTCTAAATATTTGTTAATAGTAAAGTTTTGTACTTTATATCTGTATTTTTGATTTAACATTAAACTGTATCTTGATCCCTCATATAAAGAGACTCAAAAGTTCTGTCAGAATTTGCAGACATAGTAAAGGTTCTAACAAGAGAAATAGGATGGTAAGAGAAATGAGAATAACAGTATAGTAGTATTCAACCTAATTTAGTTTTTTTTTAAGTAAGAGTTAGTATAATTAAGTAGATTGTATAGAGTTAGAGTC